CAGCCATGGAAACCGGTTTTGAAGAATTTCCACTCCAAAATCTAAGCTTGAAGAAAACCCAACACATTTCGAGAGCACAGCAAACCCATCTTAAGAAACCTCACGTATTCAAACGCAAACGCAAAAGCAGAAACTAAAAAGCAAAGCCAGGCAGCCAAAACGAGCAAGCAAAAGCACCTAATCTGGCCTTCTCCTCTCTCTCTCTCTCTCTCTTTTTTTTTTTTTTGCCAAACAGTAGATTTGTTGGATTAGGAGTTGATAGGGTTCGAACTTCGAACCCATGCGGTAATATAAAGGGTAACATTCTTTTCCACCACTGTGATTAAGGATCATTTGTAATTTATATGTTAATTAAGCAAGTTGTTCAAGTAAATATCGTTTCAATAAGTTGGTTTGTCATTGAGCATAACTGTATAAACAGTGTGTGATCCACGTCGAACAGAGACAAACGTTAACCATATGTGACATTCCCTTGTAGAAGGGCTCTCAATTGTCTAATACAGAAAATATAATGACGATTCCTAAGAACTGCCACAATCATGTACCATATCATCAACGTAATGTGGCTATTTTCACACTTAAATTTAAATTCAACGATTGACAAATTAGAGTGTAAATAAAATTGTTAATTAATTCAACTTTTTTGTATTTAATAATTCATTAATAATAAGCATATGTAAATGCAAGTTGGTTTTGTCAATAAGTGTAACTATATAAACTGTTTGTGTGACTAACGTTGAAAAGAGAAGAAAACCAATCATATCTAAGATTAACTTGTGGAATGGCTCTCAAGCGTACGTCGCAAAAAACAAGATGAAGACTCTCAAGAGCTAACACATTCATTTAGCATATCACTGTAGCAATGTACCCGTTATTGCAATCAAATTTAAATGCAGTTATTGACAAATTATAGGTGTAATTAAATTTGTTAATTAACACATTTTTATTTTGGTACTTAAATTCATTAATAATGCAAATGTGAAAATGAAATTGACAAGTTGTTCATACAAATTTGGGTTATTTATCATTAAGTGTAACTATATACATTGTTTGACAAGTTGAACAAAGATGATAACAAACCATATTCGAGATTCCTTACTCAGAAGGACTCGCAAATGCATGTCTCATAAAACATGATGATGACTTGCAAACCTACCGCAATCATTTAACACATTATCAATGCAATGTGTCCGCTCTTGTACTTAAATTCAAAATTCAATTATTGACTTATTAGAGTGTAATTAAAGCACGTAATTCAATATTTTAATGGACAGGGTGTTAGATTTCCACCATGCATTTCAGATTTGAAACTCGAATGTGAATGCGAGTTAGGCAAGTTATTTTAAAAATTATGAGTTATGCAAGTTAGTTTATCGTTAAGTGTAACTGTATAAACTATCTGACTATGTAAACCATAAGTCCAATTATCAACAAATTAGTATATTTTAGAAGCGTTAATCAAGTTAGGTTGTCGTTGCTTTGCAAAAGGAAAAAAGAAGTTGGTTTGTTGTTGAGTATAACTTTATAAACTACTCAATTGTGTTAACTACGTCGAATAGAGATGAAAACCAGCCATATCTTGGAGTTCGTGTGAAAAAGACTTTCGCTGGAAGGATTAAAGGTACGCTGCAGAAAACATGTTGATGACTTCAAAGAGTTGATGTTATCGTTTAGCAGCTCATTAGAGCAACCAAGCCCGCTTACATACTCAAATTAAAATTCATCTACCATCAAGTTAGAGTATAATTAAATTCATTTTATTGTATTTAAGAATCCATTAATAATATATATGTTTTTTTTTTTTTTGGTAGAGACGAATTAGACGAGATTAGTTCTTTGTCAACAGTCGCGTGCATCAACCCTCTCCCAAAGGAGAAAGGACCGTTTGCACCTGAAACCCCTCCCCCCGCCCCCCCCCCCCCCAACCCCAACCCTCTTCAATTGATATATATGTTGATTATATCAATTGTGTTTTGTGTTTGTTGAGTATAACTCTATAAACTGCTTGATTTTGAGATACAGTAGTCAAAGTAGACGAAAGTAAGCCATACTAACCTCAAATAAAAAGAAATGAGGAGCCGAATAATGTCTAGATACTCATCCCAATAATTAAGTAATGAGGTAGCAAGTTGTCCTTTTATTACCTTTATTATTGCATGTAAAGTGGGAAAAACTAATATCAAAAAAGAGGAAAAAAATAAGAAGATAAAAAGGAGAAAAGAGAAGGCAGTGCTAAAACTGTAGCAGGCATTAGGAAAGGCAATTGGATTCTATCCGGATCCACTTTGTTTCACATCCTAACTATTCATCGTATATTATGCGGTAAGAAATTATTTAATTTTTTTATTTAAAATTAAATACAAATAGTATCTGACGAAAACTGACCGCACGATATACAATGAATAGCTAAGATATGAGGATTCCTAGAATTCCCACAAAGTGAATCCAAAGATGATCCTCTTCCGGAGGAAAAGCAGGTGCATCATCATCTTTGTAGTTCTGGAGTCGGGACTCAAGTGGTCGTTGTCGACGAAGCTTTCACCATCAAACTTCTACTTGGGGTGGGACTTTCACTTATTGTTGTAGCCCACTGCCCTTTGCAAGCATTCGAGTAAGTGCTAGGTCAACAATTAGGAACTGTTTTTGGATCCTTCTGCCTTTAACCCCTTTGCCTTTCCTTTCTCTTTTTCCTTTCTTCATCCTTCCATCTCCAAAGGAAAGAGACAAACATCCTTCTGCCTTTCCTTTCTCTTTTTCCTTCTTCATACTTCCATCTCCAAAGGAAAGAGACAAACTTGCTAGTTGCTATCATCATCCCACTAAGTCCCGGCTCTGTTTGAATACGTTTTACGCTGCCACGAGACTCACGACGTGACGAGAAAAATACTAATCACGTGATATAACGATGTCAGATGATGAGAGAGATACTTAGCTATATAATAAGCCAATAAAATTACCTGCTTTCTAAGAATGTGGGAAGAGAAAGTCTGTCGTACGCAACCATACCTTTATTTCAAACAAATGAAGTCGTGAATGAAATCTTCGTGATTTGATGTTCTGTTACATACACGATTTTATTTATTTGTTAATATATATTTGAATGACTAGACGATCTTCAATTAAAATTAAGAAATTGAACATTTTTTATCGTAGATTTTATTTGGTCTATGATTCACATCCCTCTCCTTTTGCCTTTATCTGCAGTTTTGGCTCTCCTGTTGCCACTTTCCTGGTCGACGTGTTCATGGTCTCTCTCTTCCCCACTCTTTCATTCATTTTGGGCCTAATGGGCCTGCATTGTAGTGGGTCTGGACTTTGGACCATGAAATGGGCTTAGATTGGATAATTCTTGTTCTTTCCGTTTAGGGGAAGTTGGACCACGAGCCTGATAAGATTAAACTTCCGACTTGTCTTCGGCATCCATAGAATTTCTCGGTTAGTTCTATGGATGGCCGAAAGACAATTCTCAGTTGTTTATTGGCAATGATAGAGTGTCTAGAGACAATTCACGAGTGTGTAAAATCACAAAAAGTTGTCACATCATGTCCAACAAGAATAAGATCCCAATCCCATCATTCCGTCATATACGCGAACATGGGGAGAGAAACATGTGACAACGTCGCAATATCCCAACTTATTCACGCATGACTGTGCTTCTTGTCTCACTCAAAAGTTATCGCACGATCAGTTTGAGATACTTCCATGAACTCACGATGACATTTTCGTTGCAAAAAGTTCTCTTTCCAATAAGGAAGTCCAGTGGTAATTAGACCTAGCTGGAAATGGAAGTTTTTTTTACTTTTCCTCCTCCCACGAATCCAAAAGTAAAAGAGAGAACGTGGTCACTGGATCTAATAATCAGATGCAGTACGCTAAAAAGTGTCATTACGGTGCACCCTTCACCGGAAGAGAATTCTCTCCGGATTCACTTTGTGGGAATTTCACATCCTAACCGTTTATTATACATCGTACTTCCAATTTTAGTCAGGTACTATTTGTATTTTAATTTTAAATAAAAAAAAAGTCAAATGTTTTTTAATCACACAATACAGGATGAATGACTAAGATATGAAGATCCCTAAAATTCCTACTATTCGGATCGGAATGGATCCAAATCCCCCCCTTCACCTTCATTGCTTGTCAGTCTTATCCAGTTCTCACAGATTCGTGTAGCTGGAAGCAAAGCATCTCAAAAGATTCCAGGGAATCTTGTTTAGTGGGCCAACCCAAATCGTACTGGTACTAATCTCCCGCAAGCTTGATCAATTGGGCTACGGATTTTGCCTAAAAGAAAAACAATTGAGCTCAGGATCCAACGGCCCAAAACATAAAGACTTAGGCCCAAAACAATTGCACCAAACTGACTCAACAAAATGCTTATCTTGCCCATTTCCTTCCGCTCTTGCCTTGATTGGACGGTGATTTTACACACTCCGTTTTAATTGTTCCGTATTTTTACAATTTTTTACATTTATTGGTTTTTTTTTTTAAGTTAAACGATTGGTAGGCGGTTATTTTGAATAGAAACTGAATGAAATGTGATTAAATACATGGGCAAATGATTATTTATATTCATTTAATGGGGAAATTGGCTAATACAAAAGTTTGTGGAGCAAATCGTGCAGTAGAACAGACAACAGAGTTTAGGGCGGAGGAGGGACATTGCAAAATACTAAAAATAACAAATGACATTTAAAGATGGGACATTTGGATGTGAGCAATTGGCTAGTTGCTTGTTCAAAGAGAAAATTGGCCAAAATAAAGGCTTAGGGACCAAATCGACAGTATGTAAAAGTTAAGCGGGGCGGGGGAAAATATGGAAAAATACTCCAACGAAAGAAAAATCTCGCAATACGAGAAAGCCAAAGAGGTGGACTATGAAAAACAAATATTTAAATTCCCGCGAACTTCCACACTAGGTGCCACGCTGGCAATCCGTGCGCCTACCCTCCCACCCAATCAGATCACAGCGTCGCCTCCTATATATTCCAAACCTCAACCAATTTCAATCTCGCAAGCGCCATCTTTGTCTCGCGCATACTTCACTGTCGCCAAAGATACGATCTTTTTCTAGGGTTAGGGTTTCTCTGTTCGCTATTTCTGTGATTCGGTCGCAGGAAAATGAGTTCGAAAGAAGGAGCGTCGACGAAGGGAGGCCGAGGCAAGCCGAAGGCCTCGAAGTCCGTGTCGAGGTCGCATAAGGCTGGCCTTCAATTTCCGGTGGGTAGGATCGCCCGATTTCTCAAGTCTGGAAAGTACGCCGAACGTGTCGGTGCCGGCGCACCTGTTTATCTCTCCGCCGTGCTAGAATACCTCGCCGCTGAGGTTAGCTTGTTTTTTTATCTGTTGGTTCTATTGTTTTTGGTTTTTGGTTTTGGGTTCGATTTTGATTGTGCAATTTCATGTTTTTGGAATTTGGGTCGATCTAATTATGAGTATAATTTTCTGGGTTTAATCGGATTTCTAGAACTGAGTGCAATAATGTTCTAGGATTCATATAGCTGATTCTATTTAGTGGGAAAACAGCTTTGTTGTTGTTGTTGTAATCAGATTTCTGGATACAATCGGTTAAGTAATGTGTTATTAGGATTTGAAATTCAACATTTGTTCGTTATTGGTGGGTTTTGATTCATTGGAGTTTGATTGGTTAAGATTTTCATGTTTTTTTGGTATTGTATATCTCGAACTTTAATGGGTTTGATCTGATTTTTTCTTGTGAAATTTTGTTTAGGTGTTGGAGCTCGCCGGAAACGCTGCAAGGGACAACAAGAAGAACCGCATTGTACCAAGGCACATCCAACTTGCGGTTCGGAACGACGAGGAGCTAAGCAAGCTGTTGGGGGCAGTGACCATCGCCAATGGAGGAGTGTTGCCAAATATCCACCAAACCCTCTTGCCTAACAAGGGTGGAAAAGGCAAGGGCGATATTGGTTCCGCCTCTCAGGAGTTCTAGGTCTCTCTTGTGGATTGAAACGATCAGTCGCTGCAGTTGTATGATATGATGGCATTCTTTTTCCTTCTTTTAGTAGATCTTGAGATGTACATGGGATTTCTATGACGTAAATGAAATGGTTGTGTTAGGCTTGTGATTGATTTAATCCACTTTCATCTATCTTTGTTAACGATAGATTGTCTTCATAGTCGAGCGTCCTGGCATGAAGATGGATAGTGTTCGTAGTTGGGCGTCCTGGCATGAATTTGAATTGGTTGTCCGACCCCTTAAAAGTTTGAATAAAGAGGCTACGTCTATGAATCAAAGGAAAAATGAGAAAATGGGAGAAAGAATCGCAACCCATTTAGTTAGAGGTGGGTATCGGGTGGTTCGGTTTGTTGTGAACGCAAACCTGCTGGCCAACCCAATGGGATTGGGCTGCCAATGTTTGAAATCAATGTCACCCGTGGAAACATTCAAACTACCCCCAATTGGGTTGGGCGTAATTACATTGTTCCATGTATTAATCTGTAACAGGTGGAATTAATGGGTTTTTCACTTGTAAAAAAGTATTATCAAAAGCAAACAAGTGAAAAACCCGTTAATATTAAGTAAAATTCATTAATGAGTTATTCAGTATTATAGTCTGGTGATATTCTTTTTCATTGGTAAGTGAGAAGTGTTAGGTTCGAATGTTGTCGATGGTGAATTCAATATCAAATTAAGTTGTTCATTGTGTTGCTTCCCAACTTCTCTTGTGTAAAATATATCGTTGTACTTAAAATATATATATATATATACACACACACGTTAATGAGTTTTACCACTGATTGAGTTGCAAATATATTTTTAATATAATATTTAAGTTGAAAATTGAAAAATAAATGAGAAAAGATAGTAGTGGGGGAAAACATTACTGAAATTGGATTCCAAACTTAAGATTATCAATGAAAAATCTTACATGAATTTTCTTAACCTCACGGTGCGATGAAGGTAAAAGTAAATAGATTTTATCACAACTTTTGCACAAATTTACAGAATTGCATAAAAATCGTGATGATTAAGTCCACATTTGAGTGCAAAATTTGTATTTTTGAAAAAGAGTTTTCATCATGATTAATAAAAACTTTATAATGCAGTTCTCACCATTTATTGAGTCAAAAGTACATTTCAATAGAATATTTAACCTAAAAACTGAAAATAAATTAAATTAAATAATAGTGCGACTCAAAACATTAGCGAGATAGGACTCTATCCTAAAAGCTATTAACAAAGAATCTTACATGAATTTTCACGACGCCACGGGGCATTGAAGGTAAAAGTCTACAGATTTTTTGACGATTTTTGTCCTACCTTGCAAAGCGGCCTAAAAACCGTAATAGTTGGTATTTACAGCACTATCATTTTTATAAAAATATAAGCCTGTTTTTTTGGATTAATTTACAAATTTGTCCAATTTGCAATTGAGGACACATTCTTGGTAATGACGTGCTGTCAGCAACTGCAAGTCCTGAAATCAACCGGCGGCCCTTTATCTCTCTCTTCTGTCAGTCAGTGAGTCAGTCAGAGGAGTGAGAAACAGTACAGAAGAGAGAGAGAGAGAGAGAGAGAGAATGGAGGTACAGTGGATTCTGGTGTGCCATGGTTTAGTCACACTGCTCCTTCTAGTCTCCTTCCTCTGCGGCCAATGGCCCATCTTCGACGGCACCCCCATCCAACGCATCAACCACTTCCTCACCTTCGGCGCCTATGATTACTTTCAGTTCAGCACCCTCTCTCTCTCTCTCTCTCTCTCTCTCTCTCCTCCCCTCTCTCTCTCTCTCTCAGATTTAATTTCTGATCTTTTTTGCGCAGACGGTTTGTTGGGTTTGTGTTTGGAGCCAGGGGGACAAATGCCATAGCCTCCGCGGAGTATTTCTGCTGCGATCGACCGAATCCAATCTTACAGGTTCCTTCTTTTTCCCACAAACAGAATTGAATTACTTTTGTGATTGAAATTTGAAGAATTTTGGAGAAATTTGGGTTCTGGTTGGTTGAATTTGTTCATGAAGTTGTAATTTGTTTGGGAATTGAAATTGTGGGTCCAGTTATGGGACCTTCGGGTTCACGGTGTTGTTGCTTTTGGTTAAAGTTGAACTTAGTTTTATCGGATGATTCAGCGAAAAAGATGCGGAACAGAAGTGGTGGCTTTCCTAAATCAATGGTGTTTTAGTACTTTAAATTCTTGGTGAGAGGCTGATTCCGGTTATCCTTACTGTTTTCATTAAGGTTTCTGTATTTTCGCCTCCGCTAAAATATCTAAATTCCGCTGCCCAACTCTATCCTACATCAGAAAGGTTTTGTTTTTCACGTTTATATGCATTTGCAATGGCATTTTGTTCCATTTGGTAGTGCATTTTGTTGAATTTCTGGCTATCTAGTTGCTTAGAGTAAGTAGGAAACGGGAAATTTTTGGGGACGAGTTAAAGTGTGAGGAAATGTGGTTATACGAGGAACTTGACGATGGAGGATCTGATGCTCCCGAGTTACGGTATTTCCAGTTAGAGATGTATGAATGTGCTTAAAGTTGGTAAATTTGAAAGAATCATTAGGAATTGCTCAATAATCAGTCACTAGGAAGTAGGTGGGAAATTCATTTTGCAATATTAATCATTAGCTTTCTGCACATTGTAGATCATGTATTTTGCAATAGTAGGAGGAACCTATTACTTGGTTGCAACTTCTTCCTTCCGTTACATTCCTGGCTATTATATAAGTGAAATTCACAGGTATGCGTCATGGATTAAGTTTATGTTAAGTTTTCCATTTTCTTTGTACTGAATCCTCTACGCCATGTTTTCTTATTTCAGGTATGCTAGCTTGTTCGCTGTTGGAGTCGGTGTTCTGCTCTTTCTATTGGCTAGCTTTTCTGATCCAGGAACTGTGAAAGCTGATAATGTTTCTCTGTATCTATCTGCTTATCCTTATGATAATATTATATATTCTGAGAAAGACTGTTCAACATGCAAAATTCCAAAGTGAGTTCTCACCGCCATGGTTATCGTTTTTAAAATAAATTTATGCTGTTTGATTTTTGTTCCTTCCTTTTCTTTTCTTAATTTCTCTTTTTTGTTCGTCATTCTCCTCTGTGGTTTAGACCTGCTAGGTCAAAGCATTGCAGCATATGTGATCGATGTGTTGCCCGTTTTGATCATCATTGTGGATGGATGGTCTGAAACTCTCTAACTATTCTTCTTGTTTCCTCCATTCCCTCCATATTTGGGCATTCCATTTGTTGCTTATTGTAAATTTGACCCCACTGTTTTTATTGCAGAATAATTGTATAGGTGAGAGAAACACCCGGTACTTCATAGCTTTTCTTTTGTGGTGAGTTCTATAGTGATGCAGCAAGTGTATGTTTATTTGTATTGTGTGGCCTTTTTTTTCTTCACCGCCTATGCTTCCCAAAGAATTGATTATACATGTTGAATTGTTGATAGGGATTTTGATGGGTAGCAATTGTTTTACAGTTTGAGAATGTGCTTACTGATAATCAATGTTATCACCTAGATCTCTGGTTGAATTTTAGCAATCCAATCTTGGCGTATGATGTTGACGTAAATAAAGATAAGAAAACTTTTAAAACTTCTGGTCTTTGAAGTTTTAAATTTGTAGGGCATGGATTTTTCCATTTCACTCTTGAAATTCACAGCAAATTACAATGGAGAAGCTCCAAGATTGCTGTCTTAAAGTTACTCGTCTAAATGCTCAGTCAATTTTAACTTTATTATAGCTGTGAGGTAATATATTGTAATCGTTTATTTGTTGTTTGTTATCATTTATCTAGTGCTTTTTCAGGCACACTTTACTTTGCATATATGGAACAGTGGCCATTGGGTTAATTCTTGCTGGACAAGTTAAAGAATTCAAAGTTATTGATATTCTAACTGGTAAGTTGATTTGGTAAATTAATTATCATACCAAGCCTCCTACTTCGTTGTGTTGCATCTGAACCTAACTGATGTTCCTTTCCTTAATTTCTTCATTGCAGTTTATTATGGTATAGATAATTCTTTTCGCGGTTTAACACCGCATGTTGTGCAGGTACGTTGATTTGTTTTGTTATGGGAATTGAGACGAGCAATAGCTTCCAATGATAAATAATTCAGTTTCTGAAGTTCAATATCATTTTTGTATATTGCTGTTCTCGGCATATTTGGAAACATTTATATAAGCATACATAACAAGTGAAAAAACTTGTACCCTCTGTTCATTGTCAAGCTGACTTACTGTACTTCTGGTGATCCCTTAGCCATTATTGTGTTTCTGGATACAACGTATTGAAAGAGCCTGTCTTTACATGGAGGTGACAAATAACGTTTCACTTTAAACTGGTAGAAAAGGCCTAGTTGGACTTCACCATCCATATACTTTTCATGATGTCACCAATAATGAACTGTAGGCTTGAGATATCGGTTCTTTTTATTATTTTGGCTTTTCTGTATCGCTCATTGCTTAATTTTTTTCTGATGTTTGACAGTGGTTGTTGGGCGCCTACAACACTCAAATACTTCTAATGGTGTTTCTGGCAATTGTTTCACTACTATTGGCGGGTTTCTTTGGTTACCATGCAAAACTTTGTCTCACAAACACTACAACTAATGAGGTCTATTTCTCTCTCCAACTTTGCTAATAATTTAATTTGTTAATGTCTTGGTAAAATTCCAAAGAAAGGTAGGATAGAGTTAATACTTAATTAGGCGGGGATGGTTCATTAGGCTTCCCCGCTGCAACAGAAGGACTCCCGGGAGATAAGAATGCTTTAATGAACATGGCTTCTTTCATTGCTGAAACAGTGGAACTCAGCATGTTTACTTCTTTTGAAACAGACTTTCAAGTGGCAAGACTACATAAGCTGGCAGAGGAAGCTGAATGAAGCAAGGGCGAGTTCTGCAGCACTCAAAGCAAGTATCAATGGGACGGATAGTGAAAGAAAACCTCCAGAGAGCAAATGGAGAGCCATTTTCCGAAGATCACCACTCAAAGAGGTGGACGTTGTGGTTAAGAATAACATGTACAATAAAGGATTCTTCCAGAATAGTCTTGAGGTCATTGTTCCCCTCTCAACAAGACAGCTGGCTTCGCGAACCAAATCAAAGTCTGGCTAAGAAAGACTTCTGGCTTGCTGTCGATGTTGTATGCTTGCTTCTCGTTGTTTCTTCCACCAACTGATTGGCTTCAGAGCCTGTCAACCCAAAATTTCTCATGGTTAGATGGCCAGCAACAGCAAAAGACGGAGGGTTTTTGCTGCGCGGATCTAGCACGATCGGATGCTTGTTCTAGCGTTCTGTAACATAACTGATTCTTGCGGATGCCTAGGGGCTAGGCTGAATGTGGTTGGCGGATTATTTGACAAAAGTCGATTTGCGTACAAATATTGTCATTTAGCTCAGGGGATTTTGCTTGTATAAAAGGCTAGCCAGACATTTTTCTCTTTTATTTTCTGTAACATGATACACTTTACTCACTTATTCAACGCAAGAATGATGCAATCATTCTTTCTACTTGCATCGCTATGTTATTTGATATCTACGCCTCCCACTCGGGGAAATCTTATCACCCATTGTATCTCCTTACATCACGTGATGAGAGAAATTCATACATGTTGACAAAAACTGAGAATGGTTAAGAATCTCCACTCGCACTCTCATGGTTGCTAGATCGAAAGCTTGTATTTTTACAGCTGGTCAAAAAGTCTAATTTGGGCAAACAAGAGTTGATTGAGTTGGTAAGGATCATTTTCTTCGCTAGATCAAAGCCTGAGTCGAGTTCTGCTGCCAACAATTCCTCTTGGTAGACGATCTCTAAAAACCAAAGAAATGGTTAAGACCCTCTCTGTAAGTCCTCAAAGAGACTTGTAATATGCCTTGACTCTGGAATGGGATGACTTCCCCTCCCCCTAAACTTTTTATGCAAACCAAAAAAATGGCTAAGATCCTCTATATAAATCCTCAAAGAGACTTGTGATATGCCCTGGTCCTGGGATGGAATGGCTTCCCCTCCCCCTAAACTTTTTTTTGCATAAAAGAAGAGTCTAATTTGGGGTAAAACTGTAAAAGAGGAGCAGTAAATGTGCAGGAATTAAAAAGAACACAAAAGTTAAGGGGCCAAACGAAAACAACCCAAAACAAACAGGGAGCTGAACCTAAAACAGACCGGCTCTTTACGTCGTCGTTTAACCACCGTTCTGAAAAGCTCAGAGCCAATTTCTTCGTCTCATGCTTCTTCTCTTCGATTAACTTCTGGGCAACCAAAAGGGGAGGTAAAGGTTCATTCTCTTCCCTTCGATTACCAATTTTTCTCTGTAAATATCGAAACTTTTATTTTAATTTTTTTTCAGATTTAATTGAATTTTTTTGGAAATTTAATTTTGTGCAGAAGCTTGTTAGGGTTTTGGACGATGATATACACGGCGATAGACACCTTCTACCTGACGGACGAGCAGTTGCAGAACTCGCCGTCGAGGAGGGACGGGATTGATGAACCCACGGAGACCACGCTCAGAATCTACGGCTGTGATTTGATCCAAGAAAGCGGAATATTGCTCAAATTGTATGCTGTTTCCATTTTTTTTTTCGTTTAAATTTGTAGCAATTATGGTTCTTCTTTAATATGAGGGTGAATTACTAAATTTTGTTTTGCTTGATTTGATCACTTGTAGACCTCAAGCTGTAATGGCGACTGGTCAGGTTCTGTTTCACCGCTTCTATTGCAAGAAGTCCTTTGCTCGCTTCAATGTCAAGGTATTTGCTTTATCTGTGCATTTAATTTATTGATTTATTGCGATTACCTGAAGCACTCCACCGCGATTAGGAGTGTTCGGTGTACTTATATCTTCGATTTGCCCCATATAGTTGTATTATAAGACGTTGTTTAGCAATGATTGATTCCTTTTAACTTTTTTCCTCCTAGTTTTTTGTTATGTGTGCTGATGAAAATGTACCTCATACAATCGCATACAGCGTTTGTTAGGAAAAAGATGTCCGCTGTAGCTGTAGTAGGTTAAATGAGTAGCTTTTATCTCTTTGTTTTCTTTTGGTATTCTCCAATCTCTCATTTCATATTTGCATTGGTAATTTAGTAATGTGATGTTTTCTTGTAGAAAGTTGCAGCTAGCTGTGTGTGGCTTGCATCGAAACTGGAGGAATGCCCTAAGAAAGGCAGACAGGTGATCATTGTCTTCCACCGGATGGAATGCAGGAGGGAGAACCTACCCATTGAGCATTTGGATCCATATTCAAAGGTTAGACCGATATATGCTATATTTGTATAGATTTCATACTACAATCATTGTTTTTCATTATCATCCTTTTGAACCCAGCGGACCAAATCTATTGTCTCCCTCTTTGGTGTGCACAAGTGAATGGTTTTAGTCCTTTTATTATCACACTTACGGAGTTCGTAGTAAAGCATATCAAAGTTTCAAGCTTTTTGTCTTTTTGTTTTTCCAGAAATATTCAGACTTGAAGATGGAGTTGAGTAGAACAGAAAGGCATATTTTGAAAGAGATGGGTTTCATTTGTCATGTTGAACATCCTCATAAATTCATATCAAATTACCTTGCCACTCTGGAAACACCTCGGGAATTAACACAAGAAGCCTGGAATCTAGCAAATGACAGGTACTTCTCTCAACATACGCCAATTGGTAATTTACTTTGAGACCTTCGAAGGTGTTTATTTGTTTAAAATTTTCTGTTTTTGCTTGGTATATGAATAGATTCTGATTGTTGGTTAAATTCTCACGAACTTTTTACTTGCAGCTTACGCACAACATTGTGTGTTCGATTCAAGAGCGAGGTGGTTGCTTGCGGTGTGGTTTATGCTGCTGCTCGGAGATTTCAAGTACCACTTCCTGAAAATCCACCTTGGTGGAAGGCATTTGATGCTGAGAAATCAGGGATTGACGAAGTTTGTAGGATTCTGGCTCATTTGTACAGCCTTCCTAAAGCAAAGTACATACCGGTCTGTAAAGAGGGCGACTCTTTTACATTTTCTAACAAGTCATGGATTTCGTCTCAGCCAGTGACAAAGGTAATTTTGACTTGTTTTCTTCTAATTTTTTCCCCTCCCCGTAATGATTTATTTAGAGCCGGGGGACTCCATGATATTTTCTCTTATCTCTGCAGTTGCCATTTTCAACAGCTTATTGCATGTTGATACTGCAAGTGCTGCTGTTTTTCTCTGGGAAGGTTCATTAGATTCATACAATAACCTGCTTATCGGTGGTTTAACGGCAGCACTGCTGGCTCCAAGCAAGAATGCAGCTGGAGAATATGAAGAAAATGAAAAATACATAACGTGGATTTTTCTTTCTCATTGCTGTTTTGTAGGAAGTTCCAAAGAATGCTCCCGCTCCCGCAGCTATTGATGATGCCTCTAATTCAAAGGATACAACAGCATTGAATCCTGAATCTGGTGGATCAAAGGGTGTGTTGGTCAAGCTACCCGTTGACAAGCCAAAGGACTCCAAAGAGAGTGGTGATGAATCCAAGAGCATGGCTGTTGAGGGAGAGGCAAGAGAAGATGTCAATATCAAGTCCAAGTCTGAACGCCGCATGGAATCAAGCGGTGATAAAAGCAAGGACAGAGAGAGGGACAGGGAGAGAGATAGGGAAAGGGACCGGGACAGGGACAGAATAAAGGCTCGGGATCGTGATAGGGGCAGGGATTCTGACCGGGAACGAGATCGAGAGGAGGCCGAGAGGGACAGAAACAGGGATCGGAGTCGTCGTTCAAAGGATAGAGCAAAAGATTCAGGGGGGCATTCAGACAAATCGAGGCATCACTCATCACGCGATCGTGACTATCACAGTTCCTCGTATTCTTCCCGGGATAAGGATCGCCATAGACATCATTCGTATGCTTGAACTAATCGTCAAGACGCCTCTCCTTTCCCTTTTAAGTGAACGAAACTGAACGTACTTCGGCTGTATTTTTACAATTTTTCAGATGTAAAAGTGTATTAGATTTTGGTAGGATGTGTGCAATGCACAGCATTGATCCTTCTAAATCTTGATTCTGTTGTTGGATAGTTGAATTACTTGTGATATCCTTACATCCTTCTTGGTTGAGAACTTGTACCTCCGAAGGGTCGTGATTTCTGCGTTTTTTTTTTTTTTTTATCTCATGTCTACACGTGAAAACAAAATTAATAATTTTTTTTTATTTTAAAATGTATATAATAAGTGCATGTATTAAACTTGAGAGTTTAACTACGATCTCGTTTGGAAAAGATTTTAAAATGATTGAAAGCGTTTTTGATGAAAATGTTTTTGGAACCAATCCTTAGTAAAAATGCAAGTAAATTCTGAAAATTCATTTGAAGTGCTTTTGGAAACTAAAATTATTTTCACTAGGGATAATGCTAGGGAGATCAAGGTTTCAAAACCAAATGATGTGGTTATTGATGATTGGATTGTTAAGTGTTGATTAACGCGCTTATTATTTATTGGTGACACATCATTTGGTTTAAAATTTTGATCTCCCTAGCATTATTCTTTCACTAAAAGTGTTTTCACTCATTTTAAAAGCACATCCAAACGAGATCTACACCACCATCATACCATAATTATTAATTATAACTAATTAACTAGTGATTAGCAAACTAATTATTTCGTGGGTAAAACTTGTAAATCCTCATATTTTCGAAAACCGCTCTGCGCACTTTGGCTTCCTCCACTTCCAGGCTTCCAGCTTCAGCTGCTCGTCACTCTCGAGCCTCATTGGTCCACAGGATTGAATTCGAGCGTGTTAAACACGTACAGCATGCAGTCCGGAAACTGCTCAAACGGGCCTTCCTCAATGCGGTTCAAAGCAGCCCTTCTCTGAGTGCAACTGCAACCCAGCACGAATATTCGAGTACGAGGAATGTCGTGTTTGGACTTAACGTATGGGATCCAACCCATCTTCATCTTCTTCAACGCGACGGTTTCCTTAAAGTCGTTTTCGGGATGTTCGTTCGGATTGCTATCTCTGAGGGAAGGAGAAAAAGGCGGCACGACCGCCACCAGAGTTGGTATAACAACATGTTCATATTCGTTCTCCGTACTCCGGAAGAGGCAGACATTGTTGTTATTGTCAATAGTGTCGATACGGAGCTTTAGGCCTTGTTCGAAAGCTTGTCGGAGATTAGGGAAGTCCCACTTGAAGTTGCTGTGCACTTGTTCCAGCTGATCCCAGTCTTCTATCCCGAAAGGCGACGCCGCCTTCTGTAGGTCCTCCGCTCCGGCCGGCTGGACCCACTTTCGCTTTTGTAACGGCAGATCAATGTTGGTGGCGGAATTGCTAAACTGTTCATCCTCCACTTTATCTTCCTCGTTTTACAAGATATTCGCAACAGGTTTTGCCGTCCTCTTAACTCCTCCATTCCGCATTCTTTTTTCTTTCGAGCAAAAATGCTTACGAGCGAAAGTGCTTCCTCTAATAGAAACAACTGTTTTGTTCCCCCAGTCCAGTTAATTTCTGTTAGGAAAAAGAAATCAAATTATCACATGCTGAAAATAGGCATTTGGCAAGCAGGATCCCGTTTGAAATTTGCTTTTGGATAGGCAAAAATGTTTTATGACAGTAGTTTTTAAAAGAAAACTTTGTGTTTTTGATCTGAAAGCAACTTTTTTGTGAAGCAGTTGAATTGATCAAAATTTTACTCAGGACTAGGTTAGAATTTTTTTTAAGAAGTACTTTTGCTCAAGCACTATATTAAAATTCAAAATTTTTTTAGGACTCATTCGGAACTTACAAACAAGGCACTTGGATATAATTTTTGAAGAAGCATCTCATACGTCCTTTTTCAAAAAACACTTCCATAAAATATGAGTACTTTCATTTTTTTGTCAACCGCAGTCTTAAGCATTGTTAGTTGTGATGAAAACTTTTACTCATGCCAAAAATCATCGAGGCAGATGCTTGGACTGCAAGAAAGAACAAAATTTAGAGATTTTATAATTTTATGATAGATTCTAGAATTTGATGTTTATCAATCAATGAAATGCTTTGTAATATCAAATGCATTGTTGTAGTATTGAGCATTCGTATCTACATTTCACACTGCATTAGCATGAACACTCGATACTACAAAGTATTTGTGATGTCCCTTTACAAGGGTACAAAGATTTGCCATCGTTAATGTGGCCTCTCTCTATTTTTCCCAGTGGATTCCAAAACCATCCTTAACTAACAAAACATGTTTTGTCCCGGAAGATTTGTCATAGAATTTCTAAGGCGGGTGATGCTTGAACAGCGGCATTGAAGGTGAGCGGCTTGATGTCCATGGAACGCATGTAACTCAAAAACTGTCCGGGCAGCTCTTCCAGAAGACCTTGAACAACAGAAATCTGCCCACCTGCAAACAAGTTACAAACCCCACAGATTTTATCAGCTATAATATGAAAGAAGACCCGAGAAAAAAAAAATTTACAATTGCCAATTTAATACAGGTTGAATGAAAGTCTGAACACAGTTCTAGTAACTTCGCATCACACGATGTTGACGTGCACCTAAGGTACAATGGATGTTTAGAAAGAGAAATGGAGGTCATGGATACTTACTCTGCACATCTCTCATTGGAACGAACTGGACAATGTCACGCGTAGCTATGCGACCTGTAGAACTTTCTAATCGTTGCCCATTGTCAGCGTCAAGGATCTGCCAAATACAAAAGATTCAGACAAAACTTCATGATATGCAGAAATCAAAAACCAGTATGTGAAAATCCTGAATAAACACAAGTATTACCTCCATTTGTTTGAAATCCGCATTACCAACTCCAACGATGAGGATTGATAGAGGAAGATTAGATGCCCTCACCAAAGCATCTTTTGTTTCTTGAAGGTCAGTGAGGATTCCATCCTAGAAAACAAGATGGCATTTATATTATCATTTTTGGTAAAACAAAGAACCGAGGAGTTAAAAATTCAATTTGAATTCGCCGTGCTCTTACTGTTATAATGAGCAAGACGTAGTACTTGTTGTTGTTGGACGAGAGGGACCTGGCGGCAATTTCTGCAGCCCTGTTAACCACTTGGCCAAACAACGTCGGTCCTGACAGAGCAACGTTGCGTAGAGCATTGGCATAAGCAGCCATTATGCCTTCAACTCCGACAACCTGTTAAATAAATGACACAATTGAATTTACTGAGATGGTTAAACAAAATATAGTTCAGTTGTATTGAATGAGATTGCAAACAAAGGGTAAAAGAGCATTGCAAAGAGTTACACTGCTCCTTTACCTCAGATTCACTTGCATTTCCATTCAAGTTGAAGCAGTGTGATACAGTTCCATTAGCCGTCCTTCCTCCAAAGCCCCAAGCAGGAAAACTCTTATCTGCATCGTAGAACTGAATGACTTGTCCTACTTCTGTTATAGCCTGCAAATGACATCGTTGATTTACCAGACAACATCTAATCAATCAATATGCTTTCGCTAAATATTGAACAGAAAAGTACCCATAACAACAAACGCTCGAGAGCAAATGACGTTAATTATGTACAAATTCAATACACGTCTGCAAAAAGAATATGGTGGATAAGATATAACTATCCCTATTGAAGCACATGCTTACCTGCTGGTAAGAATTCAGCCGGCCATACGGATCAATATAGTGCAAAGACTCGGGTTTTCTAGGATCTCCATTTGAACCTGGACAAAATTTAATATTCGAAACAAGAAAATATATCAAACCCATGACCTTTTGCAGAATGAAGACTGATACTAGACTATCAGACATTGCTTACCCGTAAAATCAACTGCAACCATGAAGTTAAGCTCAAATCCACTAGATATATAGTCAACAAAGCTGAATTGTTCCTTCTCACAAAATTGATCCACAAATAGCTGACCCTTCAAAACCTACGTTAGCATATTACAAAGCAAACGTGAGTAAATTCAAATTGACATGAAATACTAAGGAATTGGACTGCAAGATTGAATAAATACCTTTTCATGACCCGCACGAGAAGATGGAATAAAAAAGTTCACCCCACTTTTTTCTTTGAATAGTTTTTCAAGGTCTGCTACTGATTTTTGGAGTTTCCTGAGTAAAACGAATAGAGAGGTTAATTTCAAAGCCTTCATTTTTTTGTGTTCCAGGCACAAAACAATGATATCATGCAATAAGTAACAAAATAAAGAGCTGGAACCAATCAATAATTACCCAATAAGAATGTGGTTGCCATCGCTGTTGAAATCAAAACACTCAATAACCAGTGGGTTGTCCTGCATCAAATTGAAGAAGGTTAAATGATCTCTCTATCTTATTTGTCAATTACCAAAATTTAAATTCTCTAATTTAACAGGTAACCAAGCAATAATTCACAAGCTTACCTTGCTTCCGAACTGTTGCATACTCAGGCATAATGGTTTCCAGGTCGGGTTTAAATTGTTATCCACCACTTCAGTCTTGCAAATTGGAATAGAGCCCCCAGTCTCAACAGTCCTTGATATTCTTAAGAAAGGATCCTGAAGTGAAGAATCATACAATATAAGAAAGAAACTTGTATATAAAAGTAAAAAGATCCCACGAAGCTTCTTTGAAATGCATACGCTTTTAGAAAAGAGATCTTTGTTGTCCAAGTGGGCACAGCGGAATTTAATCTCTACAGCACTCCTAGAAGCAATAGTTTCCTCGGCATGCACAGTGAGTGTTCCAAAGTTTCTCAAACCTCCATGCCCATTTTTTCCTTTCAGAGTCAATGTTAAACTTCGATTTTGTTTAGTCACAATCTGCCATCAGAAAAGAGAACGAGCACACAGCAAACTATAAATTAGATTCCACTTCATTTACTTGAAAACTATGAAATTTTAGGTACTGATTTCAATACATTTTGGGCAACATTTTGCATATGATTAAATAAAGGAAACCAATATAAGCTATATCGATATCTTTCCTCAGCTGCATCAATATTGAGCAGTGCAGTAACTATTAACATTGGAAATTAAACATGAAAAGAAACACATAACTCGAAGTATTAATTAAAATACATATCACACCAGCTCAATGAGCTGAACAGATTTCAAGAGAATTACCTCTGAAAGGACACAACTGCCTTCTCCAAGAAACTCTTGATCCTTCAATTTCAGAGTCTGCAAGGCAACAAAATAAGAAGGTTAACACATGAATTGTATTAGGTTTTTCATTCTAAAAGAAATGCTGAAAATTCAAAGAAGTCTCGTCCTACCTTTACAGGTACATTGTGGTATTGTGTATCAACATCGTAGACATGGAATCTTGGAGGAGAACACAAGAAAAGAATATAAGTAAACGTCTGATAAACTACAAAGATATCTTCAGAAACAATGCTACAGAAGATATGAGAAACTTACATCAAATTCTGCACCATCTCGAACTGATAAGCTACTGAAACTTTCTGTATCCATACCGGATTTAAATTGTTCAGTATGACTTCAGTTCTCCCGAGTTCCTCTAGCTTACCATCATTCTTCTTGAGGTATACAATCACCATAGGATCACTCTGAAAGAAAACCAGAGAATTTTTTAGCCTCGATTGTAAACTCATAGCGGCCAGATGACACTGTTACAATAACTTTGTTACTAACTTAGATAAATGTTATCACAAGTAAGGTGACATGGATAACATACCTTTGAAGTGACGTCAAGATTGAGTAGCTTGGATGCTGAAAAGGATAACTGTAGCACAAAATTGAAAAACATTAACACAAAAGAACAAAAACAACAACCAAGCCTAATTCACTAAAACTGGCATCAGTTGTACGACACCTAGTAAGTCATTGCGCTCAGTTTTGGAATACAAAAGGTGAAAGACAAAATCCAAAAGAAATAAAGAATCAAGGCTTTTGGAATTTGGAATTTGGACCGAGCAAAGTATCACATTGTAAAAAAAGTTGTCTTACGGTCCCTAAGTCAACATTGGATGACAAAAAAAATGTGAATCTTGCTAATGTCCTGTTTGTGTGAGACCCTCTGTAAGCCATTTTGCAATTCAGCCAAAAGGAGGCGGCTCAAATCAACATGCAGCCTCACGTAACAGTACACCAATCACTTGTGAAACATGCATGCAAATAAACATGATACACATAAAGTTGACAATAGTATTTTGGTGAAACATTTGGAACACATTGTAAACCAAATATGACTTGGGTCCTTAATATTGGGGCAAGTCTTATTTCAGGCGTCCAGATTCCATGCCCTGTCCAATCACTCAATAAGATATTTGCGCTAACAAGCGTATAACTATTTACTTTCCACTCGAATAATCATATAATGCGTTTGGATGATATGTTGAGAGTCAATAACACGTGATGTGTTCATTAATAGACGGACGGGGGCAGACCGCCTAACCAGAGTCTCACCAACATTTGGATGAGTGGGTATTGTGACGCTTGGCATTTTAGTGGGTATTGTGGATACATGGGTAACACGCCACCTTGCAATGAACTATGAATGAAACTTCATCTTCAAGACTTCAACAATATAATAGTAAAATGGGCTCAACTTTTCAATTTTCTCTGCAGCCAAACAGTAGAAACTCTACAACAACAAAAATATAATAGTAAAATGGCCTGAATTATCAATTTTCTCTGCAACCTAGCGGCAGAAACTCTACAACAACAAAACAATTCAATAAAGGACGATCTCAAGCCAACAAGACTCTCATTTTGCAAGAGTCGGGGACCCTTGCTTTGAGAAATTCCAGAAAAACAAAGAATTAGAAAATTCAAAGGTTCGTAGGTGCAAAGATTTGAAGGGAAATGGATCGCTTGGCAGAAGCAGTGCCGGAGTTGTACCTCGAGTTGCGTAAAAAGCGGGTAAGCACCATGCGCCCTGTAAAAGAATTCAATGGCATCATTGTGAGCGCCGTCGTTCTTGGCGTTCGGTTCGGTGGGCCTCGGCAGGTCCCCACCCACGGCGTCCTTGCCGCCCCTTACGTCCGAAAAGCATCCTCCCATCTCTTTCAATAAAATATCCCAATCCTTTATCCGTACTCTCTCTCTCCCTCCTCTTTCTTCGTCTCTCTGAAATTCGAAAACCCTAGAAACAAATTGCGACTGTTAATCGCAAAATCAGTCTGCTAATTAGGAGATTTTGCGTGATTAAGCTTCGTTAAACCCTGAGGATTATGGTATACAGGACCAGGGATATTTTTTTTATATATTTAATTAAGGTACCTTCTTCACCGTTGGATTGATTTTAATAAGATCGTTAAACCCTAAGGACACTGGTATTTTCACTTTCGTTGGACACGGATGGATAATTTCATCGCAGTTTCAGTCTATGGAATTTACCACAAGTAATTCCAAATAATGAAAGAAAAGTCCTTTTTCAATGGAAAATAAATAAAAATCTTAGACAAATATAATAAAATTTACTTAGCTTCTCAATTTGAGTAGAAGTTTTGAATTTCCTACGTGGTCGATTTACGAGTATTTATAATCAGAATTATTTATATTGTAAATAACTATATAAAGATTATATATGCAAAAAACTATAAATTATGAGATCGTTCAGTTATTGAATTGTATAAAAAACATCTAAATGAATTTTGTACAAACATTACGAATCATCTATCTATTTGTTAAAATTGATTGACTAAACTATTTTTTAATTAATTTTTTTGTAAAAATATCTTTACAAAATGAATTATTATATGAATTGTTCTATTATTCTATAAATCGGCCAACCATTTCTAAAAATACTTATTTAAGTCATAAAATAGTTTTAATATTAAGAATGAATAAATTAATATTTTTTGAAATTTTTTTTTAATAAACGATATGAATGAGTTAAGTCTTACAATGGGCGGCCATAATAATGTGGTTCAAATACACATTTGGTGAATCGAACAAAAGACCTCTAATTCACAAGTGAAAAAAAAAATTACTCTTAAACCATAATACTAAGTGACAATATTTTGTACTTTTAAAAGAAGGTGAATTAAATCTTAGTATTTTTTATACTTTGCAGCTTAGTCGAGTTGGCAATATGGTACTTCCCTTTGTCTCAAGTCCAAATCCTCATTTTTGTAATTTAGTTAATTTATATAAAATATTTTATTTTTTGTCAAAACAAAAGTTCTTTTTCTTTTTTTATTTATAAAGAATAATACAAAAGTTAAGAAAAAGAATTTCACTCGCCTACGTTTTGCTATTTATTAATGAAGTTCACTTTTTTTGCTTAACTATTAATGCTGAGTTGATCGTTTCTTTTTATCATGTTGGGAAAAAACTTTAATTATAAGAAAAGGAAGCAACAAAACGTGTGAAGTACCAAGACTGCTCACCTAATTTGATGCCCTGTGAAGACGTCTTTCGTATGAACCTTCAGATTTATCTAATAGTGAATAAATTTATGGATTCAGATTATTCTAAGTGTTTCGGTAAATAGAAACAATATAAACCTATAAGTTTATTCACTATTAGATAAATCCGAAGATTCATACGAAAGAGGTCCTCACAAGTAGGGGCAAATTCACTATGGGGCAAGGTGGGTCACTTGACCTCCACAATCTTAGAAATCCTCTATGCAAGAGTTGGGTGCTGCCTTTGAAAATCTTAGATGCTCTTGAAAGATGTCTTCCAACTGCTTTTTGAATTGCCTTTATGGTTCCTAGGCATGATAGTTGCTAGCCTTATGTTTTTGTATGTGTTGCTATAGGAATCTATCAATAGGCGCACTCGGCATATATTGGCATCAGTCGGCAAGTTTGCTCAAAAACTACTAACATCAATAGACATGCTTGCGCGAAAGATGTTGACATGTGTGCAATGCGAATTAACAAATGACCTTAGACCTACCAAGGCTCGATAAAATGCTAATTTGCTTGACATTCGGCCAAAAAAAATTTTGCTCACTATTCTTGTTGAACCCCTCCCAATATATTTCATCGATCTACCTTTGCTCACAAGTCTTGAAAATGAACCTTTAGGTGAGCAAGCACAAAGGATAATCAAAAGCAGATGACCGGTCTATACCTAACTCCAATTTCAACAACAATCCTCCGCACCAAAAAAAAAAAAAAGACCACAATAATGAAGAAATAAAATTAAAATGATTTGCTAAATTTTAAGAAAATATTTCATGAATTACTAATTTTCTAAACCAAATTAGTGAGAATGATATGACGCACAATATTTGCTCAATTTGTTTATGAAGAGAAATAACCAATTAAAAACATTCATCAAATAGATTGGTTTACTAGTTTGAGGACTAAATGGAATCAAACCAAATCAAACTGAATTGTTGCAATTGCTTACGAGGGTTGGTCTAGTTGGTAAGGACGTGCATGTGGTTAACTCCAATCCAAGTTCAATTTTTGTATTCAATAGTTCTCGTTGGTGCGAGATCTGTAAATTCCTATCTAAATCTATATGGGTAGCAATTGGTAGTTAGATGTTATGCGCAAGTCTTTTCAGCTTAAAATTGTAGATATTCTCTTATGCTGGTGGTAAGAATAACAAATCTCCCTTTTTTTTCTTCAAAGTTGACTTGAAAATTTTCAAATTATATGGCGTGTGCCAATAATAACATATAAAATATTGGGAAGCAAAAACTTGTGGATAAACTGAATGACTCGACTCCAATGGTCTTTCTTTTTTTTTTTTTCATAGAAGTTGACTTCAATATGTTTATGGACAAAGTTTAGACTGTAGCAAATTATTTAGATAAGACTAATTAACGCGGTTTAGTTGGCGTCACCAGATGACGTCAATATTATCACGAAAGCATGCATGAAATATCTGAGAAATCTTTAAGGAAGGGATCCTCATATTTTTGGACCCGGTTTCTCTGCCCTCCCAGTTCTCATACACTTTCATCTCCTCCTATTTTGTGAGGTTACGGTTAAGCCACGTCAATATTTTATATTAATTTTTTTTATAGAGATAATAAGACAAAAAATGAAAGTGATATAACGTGGTTTAATCGTGACCGCACAAATAAGAGGGGATGGGAGTGTATAGGAACTGGGAGGACAGAGAAGCCAGGTCCCATATTTTTATAAAAATGGAGATTAGTTGTGGGGTCTACACCACATCAATCTTTAACGTTCCGAATCGTTTATTTTTCAAGTTGCATCTTATAGATCATCCTTGTAAAATTTTAGTCAAATCAAAATTTTTTTAAGACATCTATTTAAGTTCAAAGAAATTAACGAATACTTTTTATATAAGAAACAATAAAATTTTATCTTGATAATTAAATAGGCAAATAGTTTCATATTGAATTAAATTTTTGTAAGGATGATCTATGAATTGAGACTTAAACAATAGATGGTCTGGATTATTAAAATTCGATGTTGAATAGGCCCCACACATAATCCCCATTTAAAAAAAAATGAGGATCCCTTTGCATAAATAGCCTGCACAATTAGGGATCAACTTTAGATAAATTTATCAACAATTTTTTGGGTAAATATGCTTGCTTTGAATGTATATTTCCTAGACTTTGAATGGTCCTGATATCACTTGGTCCACATGTATATTTCCTAGACTTCGAATGGTCCTGAGATCACTTGGTCCAAATGTGCATCCACATCTGCATGCATGTACACGTTTAGATCGTTTAAATACAATGTGAAATATAGATCATACAAAATATTCCTTCATGTATAGATAGGATTTGGATCCCATCCAAATTGTGGGGATCTTAGGGATCTTCATATCTTAGTCATTCATCATGCATCGTGCGGTCATAAATTATTTAACTTTTTTTTTTATTTAAAATTGAACATAAGTAGTACCTGATGAAAACTGGCCGCATAATGTACGATGAACAATTAAGATGTAAGAATTCTTAAGATCCCCACAAAATGGATCTGAACAGGATCCTCTTCTGTTGTAATAAACTACATTAGCTTAATTAGCTGCATTATCATTTTAAATATTTATGGTTAATTGCTTGGAAAATGCATGTATAATATGAAATAATGAATATGCTTCACACGCATGATGCATCTGGAAAAGGTTGTGGGTTGACGATTGACAGACTAGGCGGAAGACCAATTCCACTTTTTGATTGAAATTTCCGATACCGATCCAAGTTCCAACAACCCACCAACAAGTAAATTTTACGAAGAAATATTAAGAATATTCTTTTGAAATATAATTTTTCATGAATTTTCGCCATCTTATATTTTTAACATAATATTTTATAACATATCACATGAATTAAATTATGAACATGAGGCGGTGGAGTGGGGTATTCAACTTTTAAGAGAGTCTTCTTAGCATTATATATAAATGTACAAGCCTTTTATTTAAAGAGATTTCTTAGTACTACAGTATAGTGATATTCTCTTTCACTTTATTTGTAAGTAAGAGGTATTAGGTTAAATTCTCATCAAAGACTCGAGCCATATTATTGCTAGCTCTCTATAAAGCTAAGCCCACAATTTCCCATTTAGTATAGATAATATCGTTTGTTTTAAAAATAAAAAAAATAAAAAAAATAAAAAAAGATTTCTACTCATTTGGTAAAAAATGAGGACTATTTATTGGGCCTATCCATTATCAAATTTTAACAGTCCAAACTACTTATTTTTTAATTTGCACTTTGTAGATCATTAGTGCAAAATATTAGTCAAATAAAAAATATTTGAGTAATCTATTCTTTTTATTTTTAAGCTTCACAATGAACTAGTAATACTTTAGTTCAAATTCATGTTTCGCGAGAATCGAAGGTAAAACATCTCACTTACTAGTAAAGAGGAATATCATCAGACTGTAATATCAAGTAGCATTTGGGGCATTTAATTGTGTTTAAAAAAAATAAACAAACACTATGTTCTAAGACATAAATAAATGAGGACTTTTGAATAAGGTTCTCTATATGGATAAAATTTGAGGAATTCCTTTGGATAAGACTCCATATATATACATAGAGAGAGGATTATGATATTGGCAGGAATGTCCTGGAAAGACTGGAAATTTGTTTGCGGGGAGAGGGAGAGAGAGAGAGAGAGAGAGGATTATGGTATTTGCAGGAATCTAGTGGAAAGACTGGAAACATTGAGGGTAAGTTTCAAGTTGTTGATATTCCAACGAACATCGGAACGAAGTTGTAACTGCATTTGCATGCACGATTCCCGTGCACGTCGTTACGCATGATCAAGTCATCAAACAACAACCTCGTGGAGAAGGAACTTTTATTGTCAATGATATAAATTTTACACGGAAGCATAAATTTTACGCGTAAACTTTTCTTTACATGACAGTTGTACCATACGTACCAAATACTATAATTAGAATTACTCACCTATGTTAAACTGACATGATTAGGTCTCAAATCCAACCCAAAACACACATCTAAATGTTTTTGGATCGTCAAGGCTCACCAATCATGGCACCAGTGCTTATGAGACCATATCTAAATACATGGCGTTGGCGTCACGCGCACCTAGCTAGGAAAGTGTGGGGCCTGCCACAATGGTTACTTCCAATGTACTCGACACGTGGCCATATATAAGAGGTAAATTTCAAATTTTCATTCTAATCCAGAACTTCTTAACATTTTCGTAATAATAATTTTTTTTTTAATTCATACAAATTTAGAAAAAATTCAATGTTATTCTTACCATAATTTTATACCACATTTATTTACCATCTTAGGTGGCAGATGAGTTGGACAAGCTACATCATTTAATTTCAATCTTTTTATTAATTAAAATACTTAAATAATCTTAGGTGGAAGAATGAGACTTCTTGTATACCACAATCATCATTTATCTTTTTTATTAATTATTGATTAACATTTTTTATTAAATGCTAATTAATTTAGATGATGTGGCTGTCCAACTCATTTGCCACCTAAGATGGTAAAGAAATATGGTATAAAATTGTGGTAAGAATAGCATTATTGAATAAAAAATTACAAAAATCCAACAGTAACAACTAATCATTAAGTTTTTAAGATGTACCACAATTCATTCATAAAAATCTTTACAATATCTTTTATAGACATGGACGGATAGAATAATCATAGTCACCTTCTAAATTAATTTCATCCGTTCAATAGCTACTAGATAATTGAATTATACATTAAAACTAAATAAAATTTTTATTTTAAAATGTATATATAAACCAAATAATATGGTTATTGATAATTAGATTATTACTTAAGCGTTGATTAACGTATTTATTTCTTATTAGTGATACATCATTTGATTTGCAAATATTGTTTAAAATTTTGATTTCCGAAGCATTATCTTTTCACCACCATGATACCATAATTACTAATTATAACTAATTAACAAAAAAAAAAAAATTTTTTTTTTTGATTACTTGTAAATCCTCATATTTTCGAAAGCCGCTTCCTCCACTTCCAGCTTCGGCTGCTCGTCGCTCTCGAGCCTTGTTTGGTCTACAGGATTGGATTCGAGCGTGTTAAACACGTACAGCACGCAGTCTGGAAACTGCTCAAACCGGCCTTCCTCAATGCGGTTCAAAGCAGCCCTTCTCTGAGTGCAACTGCAACCCAGCACGAATATTCGAGTACGAGGAATGTCGTGTTTGGATGAGGGACTTAACGTATGGGATCCAACCCATCTTCATCTTCTTCAATTGGACGATTTCCTTATAGACGTTTTCGGGATGTTCGGATTGCTATCTCTGAGGGAAGGCGGAGAAGGCGGCACGACCGCCACCAGAGTTGGTATAACAACATGTTCATATTCATTCTCCGTACTCCGGAAGAGGTAGACATTGTTGTTATTGTCAATAGTGTCGATACGGAGCTTTAGGCCTTGTTCGAAAGCTTGTCGGATATTAGGGAAGTCCCACTTGAAGTTGTTGTGCACTTGTTCCAGCTCATTCCAGTCTTCTATCCCGAAAGGCGACGCCGCCTTCAGTAGGTCCTCCACTCCGGCCGGCTGGACCCGCTTTCGCTTTTGTAACGACAGATCAATGTTGGTGGCGGAATTGCTAAACTGTTCATCCTCCACCTTATCTTCCTCGTTTTAAAAGATATTCGCAACAGGCTTTGCCGTCCTCTAAACTCCTCCATTCCGCATTCTTTTTTCTTTCGAGCAAAAAAACGCTTACGAGCGAAGGTGCTTCCTCTAATAGAAGAACTGTTTTGCTCCCACAGTCCAGTTAATTTCTGTTAGGAATAAGAAATCAAATCATCACATGCTGACATAGGCATTTGGCAAGCAGAAACCCGTTTGAAATTTGCTTTTGGATAGGCAAAAATGTTTTATGATAAGCGCTTCTAGTCAGTTTTTGAAAGAAAACTCGTATGTTTTTTCTGAAAGCAACTTTTTCGTGAAGCAGTTGAATTAATCAAATTTTTTACTGAGGACTCAGTCAGATTTTTTTTTTTAAGAAGTACTTTTGCGCAAGCACTATATTAAAATTCAAAATTCTTTTAGGACTAATTCAGAACTTATGAACAAAGCACTTAGAAATGATTCCTAAAAAAGCATCTCATATGCGCTATTCCAAAAAACGCTTCTATAATACAAGAGTACTTTCATTTTTTTGTCAACCTCTGTCATAAGCATTGTTAGTTGTCATGAAAACTTTTAATCATGCTAAAAATCATTGAGGCAGATGCTTGGACTGCAAGAAAGATCACCACAGGGTCAAAATCTGCTGAGTGAATAAAAATTTAGAGATTTTTTAATTTTTTGATAGATTGTAGAATTTGACGTTTATCAATCAATGAAATGCCTTGTAATATCGAATGCCTTGTAATATCAAATGCGTTGTAGTATCGAGCATTCATATCAACATTTCACACTGCATTAGCATGAATGCTCGATACAACAAAGTATTCGTGATGTCCCTTTACAAGGGTACAAAGATTTGCCATAGTTAATGTGATCTTTCTCTTTATTTTTCGGCTTGAGATTGAACTGCTTCATGTTTGTCGCAGTGGATTTCAAAACCATCCTTAACTAACTAAACATGTTTTGTGCTGGAAGATTTCATAAAGCACCCTCAACTAACTAATCACTAGCTAATATTTGTAATGGAATTTCTAAGGCTATTCTTCGGCCAGCCGGTGTTATGGCGGGACTCGAAACGAAAGAAGAAATCCGTCGACGGTCAGGCAGGTGATACTTGGGCAGCGGCATTGAAGATGAGCGGCTTGATGTCCATGGAACGCATGTAACTCAACAACTGTCCGGGCAGCTCTTCCAAAAGACCTTGAACAACAGAAATCTGCCCACCTGCTTACAAGTTACAAACCCGACAGATTTTGTCAGCTAAAATACGAAAGAAGACCCGAAGAAAAAAAAAATTACGATTACAAATTTAATACAGGATGAATGAAGATCTGAACACTGTTCAAGTAACTTTGCATCACATGATGTTGACGTGCACCTAGAGTTGCTATGGGTGTTTAGAAAGAGAAATGGATGTCATGGGTACTTACTTTGCACATCTCTCATTGGAACAAACTGGACAATGTCACGCATAGCTATGCGACCTGTAGAGCTTTCTAATCGTTGCCCGTTGTCAGCATCAAGGATCTGCCAAATACAAAAGGTTCAGACGAAACTTCATGATATGCAGAAAACAAAATCCAGAATAAACACAAGTATTACCTCCATTTGTTTGAAATCTGCATTACCGACTCCAACGATGAGGATTGATAGAGGAAGATTAGATGCCCTCACCAGAGCATCTTTTGTTTCTTGAAGGTCGGTGAGGATTCCATCCTAGAAAATAAGATGGCATTTATATTATTATTATTGGTAATACAAATTACTGAGGAGTCAAAATTTTATATTGAATTCGTCGTGCTCTTACCGTTATAATGAGCAAGACGTAGTACTTGTTGTTGGACGAGAGGGACCTGGCGGCAATTTCAGCAGCCCTGTTAACCACTAGGCCAAACAACGTCGGTCCTGACAGAGCAACATTGCGTACAGCGCTGTCATAAGCAGCCATTATGCCTTCAACACCGACAACCTAAATGACACGATTGAATTTACTGAGATGGTTAAACAAAATATAGTTCAGATGTATTGAATGAGATTGCAAACAAAGGGTAAAAGACCATTGCAAAGAGTTAAACTACTCTACCTCAGATTCACTTGCATTTCCATTCAAGTTGAAGCAGTGTGATACAGTTCCATTAGCCGTCCTTCCTCCAAAGCCCCAAGCAGGAAAACTCTTATCAGCATCGTAGAACTGAATGACTTGTCCTACTTCTGTTATAGCCTGCAAATGATATAGTTGATTTACCAGACAACATCTAATCAATCAATATGCTTTCGCTAAATATTGAACAGAAAAGTACCCATAAAAACAAAAGCTCGAGAACAAATGACCTTAATTATGTATGAATTCAATACACGTCTGCAAAAAGAATATGGTGGATAAGATAGAACTATCCCTATTGAAGCACATGCTTACCTGCTGGTAAGAATTCAGCCGGCCATACGGATCAATATAGTGCAAAGACTCGGGCTTTCTAGGATCTCCATTTGAACCTGGACAAAATTTAATATTCGAAACAAGAAAATATATCAAACCCATGAACTTTTGCAGAATGAAGACTGATACTAGACTATCAGACATTGCTTACCCGTAAAATCAACTGCAACCATGAAGTTAAGCTCAAATCCACTAGATATATAGTCAACAAAGCTGAATTGTTCCTTCTCACAAAATTGATCCACAAATAGCTGACCCTTCAAAACCTACGTTAGCATATTACAAAGCAAACGTGAGTAAATTCAAATTGACATGAAATATTAAGGAATTGGACTGCAAGATTGAATAAATACCTTTTCATGACCCGCACGAGAAGATGGAATAAAAAAGTTCACCCCACTTTTTTCTTTGAATAGTGTTTCAAGGTCTGCTACTGATTTTTGGAGTTTCCTGAGTAAAACGAATAGAGAGGTTAATTTCAAAACCTTCATTTTTTTGTGTTCCAGGCACAAACCAATCGATAATTACCCAATAAGAATGTGGTTGCCATTGCTATTGAAATCAAAACACTCAATAACCAATGGGGTATCCTGCATCAAAAGAAAGTTTTATGATCTCTCTATCGTATTTGTCAATTACCAAAATTTATATACTCTAATTTAACAGGTAACCAAGCAATAATTCACAAGCTTACCTTGCTTCCAAACTGTTGCATACTCAGGCATAATGGTTTCCAGGTCGGGTTTAAATTGTTATCCACCACTTCAGTCTTGCAAATTGGAATAGAACCCCCAGTCTCAACAGTTCTTGATATTCTTAAGAAGGGATCCTGAAGTGAAGAATCGGGAAAAGAAACCTAAGAATCATACAATATACGAAATTTGTATATACAAGTAAAAATATCGCACGAATCTTCTTTGAAATGCATACGCTTTTAGAAAAGAGATCTTTGTTGTCCAAGTGGGCACAGCGGAATTTAATCTCTACAGCACTCCTAGAAGCAATAGTTTCCTCGGTATGCACGGTGAGTGTTCCAAAGTTTCTCAAACCTCCCTGCCCGTTTTTGCCTTTCAGAGTCAATGTTAAACTTCGATTTTGTTTAGTCACAATCTGCCGTCGGAAAAGAGAGTACACAGCAAACTATAAATTAGGTTCGACTTCATTTACTAGAAAACTATGAAATCTTAGGTGCTGATTTCAAACAATTTTGGGCAACAGTTTTGCATATGATTAAATAAAGGAAACCACTACAAGCTATATCGATATCTTTCCTTGGCTGCATCAACGGTGAGCAGTGCAGTAACTATAACATTGAAAATTAAACATGAAAAGAAACACATAACCCGAAGTATTAATTAAATGACCATATACATATCACACCAGCTCAATGAAAATATATGAGCTGAACAGATTTCAAGAGAATTACCTCTGAAAGGACACAACTGCCTTCTCCAAGAAACTCTTGATCCCTCAAATTCAGAGTCTGCAAGGCAACAAAATAAGAAGGTTAACACAGGAATTGTATTAGGTTTTTCGTTCCAAAGGAAACGCTAAAAATTCAAATAAGTCTAGTCATACCTTTACAGGTACATTGTGGTATTGTGTATCAACATCGTAGACACGGAATCTTGGAGGAGAACACAAGAAAAGAAAATAAGCAAACGTCTGATAAACTACAAAGATATCTTCAGAAACATAGGTGCTACAGAAAATATGAGAAATTTACATCAAATTCTGCACCGTCTCGAACTGATAAGCTACTGAAACTTTCTGAATCCATACCGGATTTAAATTGTTCAGTATGACTTCAGTTCGCCCAAGTTCCTCTAGCTTACCATCATTCTTCTTGAGGTATACAACCACCATAGGATCACTCTGAAAGAAAACCAGAGAATTTTTTAGCCTCGATTGTAAACTTGTAGCAGTCAGATGACACTGTTACAATAATTTTGTTACTAACTTAGATAAAACTTAACCAGTATTTTAACTGCTATGTTATCACAAGCAAGGTGACATGGATAACATACCTTTGAAGTGACATCAAGATCCAGCAACTTGGAAGCTGAAAAGGATAACTGTAGCAAAAAATTTAAAAACAATAACACAAAACATCAAAAACAACAACCAAGCCTAATTCACTAAGTGGCGTCAGTTGTATGACTCCAAGTACGCCATTGCGCTTGATTTTGAAAGGCAAAAGGTGAAAGACAAAATCCAGAGAAAATAAAGAATCAAGGCTTTTGGAATTGGGAATTTGGACCGAGCAAAGTTTCACATTGTAAAAAAGGTTTTGTCTCATGGTCCCCAAGTCAACGTTGGCATAACAAAAAAATAAATAAATGAGAATCTTGCTAATGTCCTGTTTGTGAGACCCTCTGTAGGCCAATTTTCAGTTCAGCCAAAAGGAGGCGGCTCAAATCAAAATGCAGCCTCACGTAACACACCAATCATTTGTGAAACATGCATGCAAATAAACATGATACACATAAAGTTGACATACTATTTTGGTCAAACATTTGGAACACATTGTAAACCAAATATGACTTGGGTCCTTAAATTGGGGGAAGTCTTATTTCAGGCGGTCAGATATCATGCCTTGTCCAATCACTCAGTAAGATGTTTGCGCTCGCAAGCGTATAATTGTTTACTTTCCACTTGAATAATTTCATTAACAAGCATATTCACATAATGCGTTTGGATGATATGTTGAAAATCAATAACGCATGATGTGTTTGTTAATAGACGGACGTGGTCAAACCGCCTAACACAATAGTCTCACCAACATTTGGATGAGTGGGTATTGTGACGCTTGGCATTTCAGTGGGTATTGTGGATACATGGTAACACGCCACCTTGCAATGAACTATGAATGAAACTTCCATCTTCAAGACTTCAACAATATAATAGTAAAATCGACTGAACTTTTCAATTTTCTCTGCAACCTAACAGCAGAAACTCTACGACAACAAAAATATAATAGTAAAATCGGCTGAATTTTTCAATTTTCTCTGCAACCTAGCAGCAGAAATTGTACAACAACAAAACAAGTTTCTACAATTCGAATTTGTGATTTTTTGGTTGTAAATGAGCAACATTTTCGTAATGCTAAAAAACTCAATAAATAAAAAACATTTGCAATAAAAAGAAATAAAAAAACAAAAATTGAGACAAATAATATTTTCAAAATACAACTACAAAATAATATTTGCAAAACTCAATGTATGAATAAAATAAAATAAGATCTTGTAAGGTTATATTTATAGCCAAAATAACTAATAACTAATATATATATATATATATGTATATTTCGCAAAACTCAATATATATGTAAATTAAATAAGAAATCCCAAGAAAAGAATGAAATAGAAATTGCAGAAAAAACAAAGAAATTAGAAAATTCAAAGGTTCGTAGGAGTAGGGATTTGAAGGCAAATCGATCACACTGCAGAAGCAGTGCCGGAGTTGTACCTCGAGTTGCGTAAAAAGCGGGTAAGCACCATGCGCCCTGTAAAAGAATTCAATGGCATCGTTGTGAGCGCCGTCGTTGTTGGCGTTCGGTTCGGTGGGCCTCGGCAGGTCCCCGCCCACGGCGTCCTTGCCTCCCCTCACATCCGAAAAGCATCCTCCCATCCCCTTCAATAAAAAATCCCAATCCTTTACCCGTACTCTCTCTCTCTCTCCTCTTTCTTCGTCTCTCTGAAATTCGAAAAATCAGTCTGCTAATTGGGAGATTTTGCGTGATTAAGCTTCGTTAAACCCTAAGGATTATGGTATTTGATTCTTTGCGATGAGCATATATGTATATAGAGGCAGTGATATCGTTTCTTGCATATTTATAAGAGGAATGCAAAGTTGGTGCTTTATACTTTCTCCTCCTAATCTGGAAATTTTCTCGAACGCGGATGCGTTGTAATTTCCTCGAAGCTTAACTTTATGGAATTTTTTTTTTCAGTACATCAATAATTCTACACAAAAGAGAAGAAGTTCGACTAAGCTACCACTTTATGAAATTTACCACGAGTATTTCCAAATAATGAAAGAAAAGTCCTTATTTTTAATGGAAAATCAATAAAAATCTTGGATAAATATAATAAAATTAACTTAGCTTCTCAATGTGAGTAGAAGTTTTGAATTTCCTCCGTGGTTGATGTAACATTCCACATTGTTCAGGGGAGTGGATCATGTAAGCCTTATATATATATATATATATATATATATATATATTCCAATTTCTACCTAGCACGAGGTTTTTTAGGAGCTCACTGGCTTCGAATTCCATCAGAACTCCGAAGTTAAGCGAGTTCACGCGAAAGCAATCTCAGGATGGGTAACCCACTAGGAAGTTCTCGTGTGAGTTCCCAGAAACAAAATCATGAGCGCGTGCTTGGGGCCCAAAGGGTACAATATCGTGTTACGGTGAAGTCAAGCCCGAGATGTGATTGGGGCCCGGGCGAGGATGTGATGGTCGATTTACGAGACCTTGTACTTATAATCTGAACCGTACTATGTAAAGATCATATGTGCAAAAAACTAATAAATTATGAGATCGTTCAGTTATTGAATTGTATAAAAACATCTAAATGAATTTTGTAAAAACATTATGAACCGTCTATCTATTTGCTAAAATTAATTGACTAAACAAATTTTTAATTAATTTTTTTGTAAAAATATCTTTACAAAATGAAATATTATATGAACTGTTCTATTATTTTGTAAATCGGCCACAAAATATTTTGAGGAATAACTCATTTGAGGAGTCAAACCCATTTTTAAAAATACTTTTTTGTCATAAAATAGTTTTAATATTAAGAATGGAGAAATTAATATTTTAAAAAAATTTCTTTTAATAAACGATATGAATGTGCTAAGCTCCACAATGGGCGTCCATAATAATGTTGTGACATCCCACATCGCCCATGGGTGATCCTTAAATGTATATTCCCATCCCTACCTAGCACGAGACTTTTTGGGAGCTCACTGGCTTCGGGTTCCATAGGAACTCCGAAGTTAAGCGAGTAGCGCGCGAGAGCACTCCCAGGATGGGTGACCCATCGGGAAGTTCTCGTGTGAGTTCCCAGAAACAAAACCGTGAGGGTGTGGTCGGGGCCCAAAGCGGACAATATCATGCTACGGTGGTGGATCGGGCCCGGGTTGTGGTGGGGGCTCGGGCCGGGATGTGACAATTTGGTATCAGAGCCTAACCCTGGCCGCGTGTGTGCCGACGAGGACGTCGGGCCCCTAAGGGGGGTGGATTGTGACATCCCACATAGCCCAAGGGTGATCCTTAAATGTATATTCCCATCCCTACCTAGCACGAGGCCTTTTGGGAGCTCACTGGCTTCGGGTTCCATAGGAACTCCAAAGTTAAGCAAGTAGCGCGCGAGAGCACTCCCAGGATGGGTGACCCATCGGGAAGTTCTCGTGTGAGTTCCCAGAAACAAAACCGTGAAGGTGTGGTCGGGGCCCAAAGCGGACAATATCATGCTACGGTGGTGGATCGGGCCCGGGTTGTGGTGGGGGCTCGGGCCGGGATGTGACAAATGTGGTTCAAATACACATTTGGCAAATCGAATTGAAGACTTCTCAATCACGAGTAAAGAAAAATATCCTTAGACCGTAATACTAAGTGGTAATATTTTGTGCTATTAAAAGAAGGTGAATTAAATCTTAATATTTTTTGTACTTTGCAGCTTAGTCGAGCTGGCAATATGGTACTTCCCTTTGTCTCAATTTCAAATCCTCATTTCTGTAGTTTAGTTAATTTATACAAAAAAAACTATTTTTTGTCAAAACAAAAGTTCTTATTTTTTATTTATTTATAAAGAATAATACAAAAGTTAAGAAAAGAAATTTCACTCGCCTACGTTTTGGTATTTATTAATGAAGTTCACTTTTTTGGCTTAACTATTAACTAGCCTTTATTCGCGCGCATGAGCACGTGCATAAATGCATTTTTTAAATCACGGCATGCTACGTGCAATTTACACGTTTTAAAAGTATATATATATACTTAAATTGACAAAAGAAAAGTCAAATATTTGAAGTAAATGAATAATCTTAGATCATGCTAGAAGAAACCCCTCATAAACCAATTAAAGCAGCTGAATTCACATAATAAAATCGATCTCTATATAATTTACATTAAGAATAGAGAAAATAATATTTAATAAACAATTGATTGAATCACATTATTGCTAACTCATTGTGAGGCTAAGCCCACCCCCTTCCCCTTAGTGTAGATAAAATCGTTTGTTAAAAAAAACAATCATTTGACAACTAATTTAATCACATTATTATCCACGTGCGAAATACCTCTTTTATAACCGGTATTACACACCTCTTAAGATGTTTTGAACATTTTTAATAATACAAAAATTGAATCACATTATTGCTAGCCTATTATGATGTACTAATTAAAAACAAACAAACAAACCATAAAAAAAAATTAATTATTAAAAAAATACTATTAAAATGATGAAAATGCCCTACCTTATTTGATGCATTATTTTGGGATGCCTTTAAGGTTTTTTGTCTTGGAGGCATTTTTGTCCAACTTTTTTTGTTGAAACTTGGTGACACCAAAATTACTATTCACCTTTTCCATTAGCTTTATATATAGATGTAAAGTTGATCGTTTCTTTTTTTCATGTTGAGAAAATACTTTAATTATAAGAAAAGGAAGCAACAAAACATGTGAAGTACCAAGAATGCTCACCTAAGTACTAGGATTGCTCACCTAATTTGAGGCCTTGTGAAGACTTCTTTCATATGAACCTTCAAATTTATCTAATGGTGAATAAACTTATAGGTTTAGATTATTCCTTATATTTCGGTAAATAGGAATAATCTAAACTCATAAGTTTATTCACTATTAGATAAATCTGAAGGTTCATACTATAGAGGTCCTCACAAGTAGGGACGAATTCACTTTGAGACAAGGTGGGTCACTTGACCTCCACAAACTCAGAAATCCTCCATGTAAGAGTTGGGCACTACCTTTGAAAATTTGAGATGCTCTTAAAAGTTGTCTTCCAATTGCTTTTTGAATTGCCTTTATGGTTCCTATGTCACGCCCCAATCCCGACATACGTCCAGAATTGACACGTGACGACACCAAAAATCCGTATCTATCATATTTCACCTCCGAGATATGAGCAAGCACAACTCAATAATCGAATCACATAGTTATTTTTAGTATGCTTTATGGCTGCATCTAACCTCCCCGTTAGACTGCCTACGTACCCTAAACAGGGATCAAGCCATTCGTAGTTCGTCATACACAATAATGGACATATAACACAGTCCGATTAAGTCGAAAGGTATAACATTTCTCATTCAATCAATAGAACTTGACAAGCATGAAAATGCTAGACACAAGGTTACATAACAACCCATCTGAAAATCATGATTTCCCCTCCATCACTAAATAGGCCATTATGTCACAACATGATACCGCAATTCACAACATATATCATTTCAAGAACCAACGATGTACAATACCATTCTCTTGCCACATTTATCAACGAGTCTAGTCATAACCATAACCATGGTATCCAACATATCAATCTCACATGACGATTTACTTTTCCACTCCAACCATCACATAATTCATCACGTTTTCCACATAAAATTGCATTTCATAGTGTGTAACATAGTTAAGAATTAACAAAGTACACATTAATCTCTAGAAGTATTAATCAACTAAAATACTCATGATAACCCCACTCATATTCAACTTCATTCCATAATCACATCAATCAATAATGTCAACCATCACATCATCAACAACACATACAACAAGTCGAAGCGCAAGTCTAGAGCAACACAATTCAGTTGAAGACTACATCTTTGGAAAAAGGGAAATTTTGGACCACCCAACGGAACCAAGGCATCAAAGGGGATTCCGGACCATCACTCAACGGAATCCAAACAGAACTCAGCTCCAGACCACCCAACCGAATTTAACGGAAGTCCAAGAAACATAACAACGGCTCGAAGGAACAAGACATGATTCAAGCTACTCAATTCCCAAAAACTCAACGAAACGAAACAATATCGAGCGACAAATCCACATCACAATGGGTTATCGGCCAATTACTTGACCTCACATCTCCCAAGCAATTCAATATGCATTTCAATCACATGTCACAACTATTTCCAATACACTAGTCACATCACATTTCACTTCATCTTACCAATCACTATACTTCCAACATTATATCTCAATACAAAGCTTGTAACATATCAAGGAATCACAAAGCATAATATTAATATTTAATTCCGTTAATCAATCAGTGAGATAACATATCATTTCACGAATTTAGTTAATGAACTCTACATAATTCCCAATTTGGGTTAAGAATAATAGCATGGTAATTCTAATTTATTTTCACAATATCGATTGTGGGTAATTCCCATCTACTCGAATTTAGGATTCTAAATCACCTTACGGAATGAACTAGAGCAAGGATTCCGGACCACTCAACGGAATCCAACGACATTGGGTTCCGGACCACTCAACGGAACCAAAATATCAAGCGGTTTCCCATAATCTACCCAAACCTGTCATATGTAAAGTCAATGCCAATATTATGGAATTGGTGCACTGGAAATTCAGGCACTCAGATAAGCTGAGAGGCTCGGGTGAGGGACAATAAAATAAGCATGTGATACGATAATAAAACCAGCCGTCAATCATAATTTATAAACCTTGAATATAAATCTTTCCTAAGAAATCCATACCAAACTTTTGAAAACTCCGAGGGAGTCACCCAAACATCCAAAAGTTCATTTCAAACAACCATAACATCTCACATCCATATTCACATACACACAATGAAAGTAGAAGTAGGGCGACACAGTTCATCCA